AGCACTAGCTAGTTGTTTGTTAATCGCTTATGTCATCCGCCACACCACTCCCGTTAACCTTCGTATTTTTACGTAATGCTCCTAGTCATATCTATATTAGTTATGCTTATTCTAATTGATACTAGGTATTTAAAACTAATGCTACTAGTTGGCCTTATTGGTGAGACCATCCAAATACTGCCATTGTCCGATCGCTATAAGCGCAAACGACTGTAGATAGCACCGTAGCGCGTCCACTATTTATCTATCTGAGTTCTGAACACATTCTTTGGTATGGGCCATAACATTGTAAGCAGTGCTTTTGCGTTAGACAATACCTATAGCTGTGGGCAATCGTACCCAAAGAAGTTGAAACCCGTCACACTGAGAAACCATCTTCACCCAAGTGATAATTTCATAGCCTCTTGTGGCTCTTTTTCTGTTATCAACGGGCGCATTGCCCCACAGCGGAGTAATCCAGATAGTGTCCGAACAACAGTAATGAAAATTACTGAGCTGAAGGTACACGGACTTGGAAACATCTAGTAGAACACTCATAACTTGTCGGGGTTCATATGCATGCAATCCATCCAGGAGACGGCACATTTAAACGTATAAGCTGAACTGGAGGTGGACGAGAAGGTACCACTTAACGAAAATTGCACAAACAACGCATTAGTGAGACCGATGAAGCGGGACAACGAAGTTGGACACGGTAGCTTTCCTGTGACTGCGATTCTGTTATCTGCATGAGTGATCCACTTACCCTGCTAAGCATTTATCTCATACTTCGAAATCCCTAACCAATTCCACATGGTCCATAAGCTAAAGCAACCGCCATTTCATCCGGTATACTCTTCAGACCCGATGAAATCCGATGTCTAGTTGAACAGCAAACAGCGAGCAACGAGTTTACACAGGTTAAGAAGCATATTTTACGAGCGTCGTCGGATGATGTGGTGGGGTGTATCGAAAGCGTTATGGAAAATACAGTTAGTACTCCAACTAGTCATAGCATCACCCTTTTTCACGTGTTCATGATGCAGCAATTTTGTGCTCCTCGTTATTTCACAGCACGAAAGGATGGTGGATAGTAACTAGAAGGTTCTTCCCAAAACTGGAAAGGAACAAATGTTGATGACTGGGCGTACCATCAGACAGCCTTGTCTGGATCGAACCGCCCACACAGTAGGGTGTGGATGATCTTCCATTAGCTTTGGTTAATTCTTGTTTTCCAGACACTCCGTTTTTAATAAGTACTTATTTACAATTGAGCAGTTTTTCATCCCATTGGAGGACCTCTTTTCCGAAACAAAGTGACAGTTCAGAATACTCCCAACTATCGTCTCACAAACCATCCGCCATTGAAATTGGGTATTACCCGCTAGAAAACTACACTGTATGACCTGTTTTGCACTTTTTAGATATGGACTTTCCGGACTTTCGGAATGTCTGTGTTGACCCATATCTCCAATCCACCGAGTCGCGGAGAACAACGCTTGTCACAACGGTTATTGACTGACCTCAAGGGCTAAGCTGAAACACGCGCTGTATGAATAGATTGCGAGGCACAATTCCATGTGAACGGCGATTCGCATCGAAGTAGACTAGGATCAATTCAGATGCGTCCCCCGTGGTCGCATGCTTCAAACTGACCCCTCCAGTCATACTCCAGTGGACTGTACGATCATGGTCTGAATCAGTAAATAGGTTATACTTGAGGCGCTAAGTTTAAAGGACTTTATTCGCAGGTTACCACACTGCATGCGAAGCTCATGTTCGTTCACAGTGTTCCAGCTTTAATTCTTTTAATGTGTCACGTCTGTGAGTGACTAAGGAGACTCCATCGTAATTATCTCTTCGGACATGAATAAGTCGCTTCACCGTTGGTATGATCAGAACTTGTTCTCACAACCTGGGCCGCTTTTGTTAAAGACGTATTATTTTCATCTTACTTTTCTCAGTTGTCCGAGTAAAAGCAGTTTGTTCATTTTCGCACGGGCCTCTCTCCATCAAACTCGTTATTAGTGAAATTATGCAGCATATGGTCCTGAGCGAACTATTGTGTTTTTTACACTATGATACGTTTGATGTAATGGCACATTTTCATGCTTCTCCCTTATCAGAAAGACATCGGGAGTATGTGTGCCTTTCATCCGAATGCTTTCTGGTTTGCCGGCAGTAAAATGCACAAAAGCTCATGGTCTGTAAGTCTGTTGCAAATGATGTATCCAGTCGATAACTGTAGTGCTGACAAGCCTCACTCTACTTCATCTCCTCAATAAGCCTACATGGATCTCCACTCTTTCTGTTGTGAATTCTTAGATGTTCTTTCAGGGACATTGACATTCGATACACTACAAGTCCAGCATCAAGTGATCACAACGGGAAGAATGATCGCTGAAGGATACTAGATTGAAAGTCTAAGAAGTGCTGTCTTATTACTCACCTAGACTGTTGTCAAGCTAACGGTAACAATTTAGTCGAGTTAAAAAATAGTACTTAGGGATACAAGATAATGAAATATGCTTGGAACCCATCGAGTGTTCATGATTTCAGATGGGTTTGAAAACAACCGGTTGTAGTTAAAGGACCTCAGCAGCTAGCCTTTGGAGTGTGGATTGCAACCCTTTCTAATGATTTCAACGTTAGTAAAGTCGATTTCATGCCCTGTATCCAACGTCTGCATCGACACTGTGGAGTTTCTCAATAGAGCCCTGCATTCAAGCATGTTCCTCGGTGGCCGTGACATGCGCTTCTTGTGTTTTGCTAACCTCGAGAGTGGTTTTCTAGCGTTTCATCCAAAGCCTTAATCCGGCCAGTCTGATGGGCTCGGCGGACGGATCTAGGACACAGCATAAACACCAAACCGCTCCTACCCCCATAGCTGGCAGAGACTAACGTGTAATAACATCATACGTTGAATCTGGTATCCCTAATGTGCCACTTGCAATGACACTTTGCCCTGCAACGTTATTACCATTCTACTTGCATCTCGGTCGTCCGGATTATTGTCCCAGTATGTCATGAAAGCCACACCATTCACCCGCTGATTCACTTAGCCTGATGAAGTAATTAGGGTATTCAAAGGCATTCGCAAGATGTCTGCTTGGCGGAAACTTGTGTTTCCCCTACAGACAGCGTTGTGTTAGCTTTGTTATCGATTCTTTATGGATCAGACACTTCAGCTTAAAATAGTAATCCTTCACCAACTGCTCCTATCTTTCGCTTACTCCTAGGGTAGGATGCGGCAACTCAGCATATCATAGTTACCAAGTTTTGAATCGAATGAACACGACCCCACTTGGTAACACCTGAGCAAAACGCCGTTCGAATGTTTGTCTCATCCGACACTAGACAAAGTGTAATGCATTGCACAGTAATATAAGGTCAAGCAGTCAGCAGTGCGAATTTATAGTGGTTGTACTCCAGTAGCTAACAATAATCAAAATCTGTGATGCGCTCAAGTTAAAGTCGTGATCACAAAGAGCAAGAAAAAATCGGACTGGCTGATTTGTATAACAAAAAAGTATCTTAATTTCATGCTGCGAAGCGCAGCTTGCAGTCACTTTCTGCTACTGTCAGCGTCAAACTGCCGCAATCTATAAAGCACAACTGAAACCTTCAAAACAATGTTATCAGGAGTGTATGTCGGCATAAGGAAAATCTTATTTTATCTGTCTGTTCGGTCAAAGCACACTGACTATCTTCCCAAGGAGGCTAATTAAGATTGCGTGTTGGTATCAGTACCAGTGTGTCTATATTTGCACTAATCTTGCTTACGTTTCTAATTTCTATGTATAAAAATAAAAAATCCAACCTTTTCACCAGTGTTACGTGTCACGTTAATGAAGTCTGCATGACTGAATCACTATTAGCTTGTTCACTTTGTAAGTGTGTGAATACCCACTGATGTTATACCGCTTTCCTCACACGTTTGCTTCGGAGTACATGAGAGGATCTGCCAGTTTGAAAGGAACACTGCGTCGTCTGCTGAATGGATGCCAACCCCATTAAAGTTTTGAAGCGGAAACTGGACCACATTATTCTGTTGTTGGACGAGTAGCCGCAATGGACATTGAGGGTACTGTCAGTTTTCGCCTTGCAATTACTTGAAGGTCATTCGCAAATGGCCGTCTAAACCCAAACACTAATAATTACCACCAATCGTTATGAGCATACCCTTGAATTTGCTAACGACATGAGCCTTTCTAATAGTACTGTGCCAATTACCACCAATCGTACTTGTGTCTGCGTTAGTAAAACATCTAAATGGCCAGTTACGATCATCACTTATTGCGAACAGTGTCATACCAAATCAAGAAAAATACCATTGACTACACAGTCTTAGATTGGACCAGAACATGATTAGCAAGAAATCTCGGTCGATGTGACCAGTGAGATCGCATCCGAATTAAATGCGATATTCTAATAAGCTTAGCCGGTCTTCAATGGATGTGAACCTCGTATGGACAAAAAATGAATGAACTGATGGATTTTCAGGTGTGATGGCCACTATGACTTTGGTTCCAACCATCACAGCGGATGTTGAACAGCAAAACAATGGAACTGACCGGCCGCGTAGCCCGTGTGAATCAAGGAAATCCCTGGATGTAAAGTAATCCACATTGGACTCTGTGATTAATCCGCAAGATGACCACGAAGGATTTTGTCGACGTGGCGATCCTTCGTAGCATGCGGTATTTATATCAGCGATGTACGTATGGTAATGCTTCATTTTCCTATTCAAAACATTCAGTTGCTATCGCATGCTGTTATTTTATCGAATTTCTAATCGCACCTTGCATACTATTTCAAATGCATGTTGAAAACGATAGGACTTTTCATGTGGATTAGAAAAAAAACATTTCGTTATAACTACACAGGTTACGCCTGTTGCAAAGAGGCTAACCAATATTTTTTTCCTTTAGGCAGAGAATTGCATACATGATTTTTAGAGCCAAATTCCGCATTTCAAACTGTGCACGCGTTCAATTGTCTTCCAAGGAAATGCAACTTACCGATAGCAATGCAATCTAGAACTTTGTCTTCACCTTCTTTTGCTTTAAGCATTCCGTCTTCCGAGACACCGTCCACTCTGATAAACAGTTCTGCAATGCAAAGTTGGAAGAAACAGTTTGTTGGTTTGGGCGTTGGACAATAAACGGTGACATAGTCCACAATTCCTGTCATTGTAACGGCAAACTGGCCCCAAAACGCAAACGAAGAACTTACGATTATGGCCGTGTGCCATAAAAACCCCGTTTCTTTTCCACTTTGCACACCCGGTTGGCGGATAACAGCGATGACTAGTTTTGTGGAGGCTACTTTTACTGCGACACTGTCACAGAATGACGGTAATTCAGGTACAAACACCACCACTCTTCACCTAGGGGAATGAACCCAGTATAAAAATTGAAGCACGTCCTAGGTTCTACAGGCCATACTGAACTTCGGAGTCAAATTTCGTACCATGAAAGGAAGAGAAATACTCCTGACGGTACTCGCGTAATGCTTCAGACTGCCATGCTTCACTGTTGTCCTGGCCTCTCAATCAACGCAGCTGCGGCAGGTATTGCTTTAGGGGAGAGTTCCTTACTGATGCGTTAATACGCTATCAGTGTCATCGCGTTACTGTCCTACTGACCACAGGAAAACCACCCAACTAAGTGCATTCACAAGGTCGAACAACTGTCAGGATACTAAATCATCTGCTCCGCAAAAGCGAAGAGCAAGCCGGTTGATCCCGGTACCAATTGAATGAGTACCGTGCGCGACGTGCCCGAAAACAGGATGACTTTATGCGGAAAAGGTTGAGGAATAGCTGATTTCACGTTTTGGCATATCAATTTGATGATGGTAAAAAACAAAATAAATCTTTGTATTTATGCTTATTTCCTACCTTTTGCCACATCGAAGGTTGCGTCGGTGTCATCTTCCCTATATGTGGCTGAGTTGACAATTAAGCTGAAGGGATTGGATCGATAGTGCTTCACTGGTACGTCTTCCACCTGGTCGCGCGGAGACACATCCACGAGGCACCAGCCCCGAAGCGTAAACTGCATTGCCTTCCCTTGAAGGAGCGCTAACTTTCTCAGCTGGAGCACCGGTCCGGAAAGATGACTGGTTTCGGCTAGTGGACTCATCAGGACGTCGTCTGTAGGCTCAAGGAATTGCCATCCGTAGGTTACTTTGTTTTCAGTCAAAATGTTGTCCGTTCCATTAGCTGTGGTTGAACAGAGGAAGTTAGCTACATATGCACGAAGTTACTAACGACACACAGAGAGGGAATCCGGACGTAACCTAGCAGTACACTGTCAGAACACCTGTGATGCATAAGATAAATGAGATGCGGCTCTTTGTACACACAATACACTACTAGAGGACACCTCATTGAAAACTGTGATGAATGCCTCGTTAAGTGGCGTAGGGAATCTGCAGCTGCAATTGGTTATGGTGCAGTGAATCCGTAAACGCTGGTTGCGAAACGAACATGTGTACATACCACAAATGGATACGAATACTTATTTCCAAACAAGCATCTATCGTCCACATTGACAAAAACTGCTTGTGTTAGATCGGCTAAATTAGATAGTATATTATGAACCAATCCCTTAACCACACGACGACAGTTCTCGCTTAATCGGTAGCCCATTTACCAGTAATTAGCCGAGAATGCTGACCAAGACAGATTTGGTGGACTTCACTGAAAATCTGCGGAGACAAACCAACTAATTCACACTGTTCTATCACAATACGCACACTATGCCCAGACACAAGTAGGGTCTTGAATCATAC